ATGTTTATTTTGTAATCCGAAATGAGTTTAAACAGGCCGGTCAGAGTCAACCAAAGGGCTGTATGTGGCCCGGGAGCTATACAATACCCAGGTCTGGGTTAGACAATGCACAATGGCTAACAATCTTGATGTATTCTCCGTGGGCTATTTCGTAATCACCACTTAGATACCCATCTGGCTTTGTGGTGTGCGTACCATGGGACATACAGTATACCCACAGGGCCTATGTTTGCTCTCCCCTCAGACAAGCGACTGAATGACCATTTGTCCTGGCTGTTCACTGCTTTAAGTGGAAAAACCTCCTGTCAACCACAAACCCTTACTGGAATAAGCAACAGAAGATCAATGAATCTTTCTCAAAATCCTCTCGAAGTTTACTGTCAAGGCACTCTTCCAATAAACTTCCCTGCAGTGATGAGGCAAAACTTAAGGAAAACGGGGTCTATTCAATGACGAAGGTGGTTGATGAGAGTCAGCATATTTGTGGGGTGTGCTGGAACAAGAGCATTAATCAAGTGCAGGGGCAGACCAATAACGCGGCCCGTAATCACGTCAGAGCAGCTCTCTAACTTTGGGCGAAGTCGTGTGGCCATTCATCATCTGCAAAAGCAAGAAGCAGAAAAGGAGATTCATAACAAGTGCATTACTCAGTGTTTAGATGCAAGCAATGCGCCGCCGGGTCAGCCAATGGAGTCTCAAGGCCATTGTGATTAGCTAATGATTTGGAAACCATTTAGTCGCAGGAAATGGGTAGTTTTTCAAATTAAAAGAGAATTATTTGCCCCAATCCTTCAATTTGATGATTGATGGTTGTGTTGTGCTTAACAGCAATGACTTCTATTAATCAAACGTAAACTGAAAATCTATACTCTACAGATGGAAACTTTTGTAAATAGTATTGTTTTGCTGGGTGTGCTCTTTCTGGGCTTTCCTTGCAACAGGCGCCTCGTAAAATTGATTACTTCTCCATCTTTGACTTACAACTCCCTTAGTCCATGACAACCAATCAGCATGCAGCTCACAGCCCCAGCCAGGCCATTCTTTCTGGCTGCCTCACCTCCCACTCAGGGTTTGCCTCAGAATTAAGGAGTCATTTGTCAATGCTTTCAGTGGCTGGCAGAGAGGGCTGACACGCACAATGCCATGTGTTGCCTGTCAAATTCTGAGAAATTGATTTGCAAAATATAGTGAAAGGGAGGACATGACAGAAATGAGAGACTGTGCAAAAGTACAATAGCAGGACAATGTTCATTCTTGCTGCAGTAAGCAATAACTTGGGTGATTGTAAATAAAGGAGAAGTGCACAAGTAGTTGAAAATGAAACTTTCATGGGGTGCACAATGGTGGAGTGTTTGGGAGGTTTTGGCTTGATCTTTTGGCAATAGACTAAGTGAAAGCTGCCTGCCATTTAGGTCTGTAAGTAGTAAAACACTGTCCATGGTCCAAAAGTTATATTTGGAATGAACACATTTCACTTCTTATACAGTAGCTTCTTCAGTTTTGAAATGGGAGCTCTGGCACGGGAGTTAAATATCCCAAAATTGCAAAACAATATAGCAAATGGAGCTTAATAGTTAATTTTTCCCACAGACTTGTTCAGGGCTACAAATGACCACAAGACCAATAATTCTAGTAATAAGTCTTTTTCTGAACTTTGTAAACCGCTAAGTTATTAAAACATTTTAAAACAACTGGATGGATATGGATATTAGTTACATGTCACTCGTTAGCGTCCACAATGGTCTCTTAACATTTGAATTTTTAAAAAACTCTATGGGAAAATGAATGGAAAATTTTACCTCCAGAACGAAAGCGAGACGTCACTATTGAACTCTATATCTGCTCCTGGAATGAGTGCTGGAATGTATGCACTCTTAATAAACTTTTGTCCAGTTGACAGAATTCAGCCTTTTTTGTTGGGGATCATGGACAACAGAGGGATTACACAGGTGTATATTTCTAACTCACCATCACTTCCATCATAATCTTTGCAGTAATATAAAATGTATCAAAATGTATTCATGGTCAACATAATTGATACACTAAAGGTGGCAAATTTGGTCTGTGGTTTGAACACTTGTATAGTAAAGTGCTGGCAATATGATTTACAGTAGGGATCGTGCCACAGTCATTGGATGGGTGCACAGTAAAAACAACACATTCTCATTCCTCTGTATATTGCCAGCATTGGAACAATAATACTAGAGGCAAAGAGGAGCAAGTGTACTACAAAAGACACCACAAAACAGTTTTTCTTTTTCCCCAGGCTCCCACAAAATCCAATTTCAACCTTTTACTCCTCACAATTTTCGTTTGGCAGCATTTCCAATTTTCTTTCATATTTTATGCAAACCAGGGTACACAGGCTTGGGCCAAAGTACACCACCACGGTTTCTCTCCATTCTGTAGCATGCCCAAAGCAGCCCATATGTCCAAACTCTCTCTCTCTTTCTACCATGTACCAACACTTCCCCACAGGGAGACTGCCTAACTGCCTGGCTCTCCTCATCATGGGCAGCTCCAGAGTAGGAAGGGGTCCAGGGCCCTTCAGGGAATGGACTATATCCTGTCCTATTTTCAACAACCAACCTTAATGTTTTGGCTTTCATTATTTAGGGCACTATGTGGCCCTGGTCTACATGGCTAAATCCCCATCGACACTTACCTACAGCTTTTACACCTATCTCTGTGTTTGGAGGAGTGTAGAAATAGAGATAGTTTGTACCAGGGAAACAATAATTATTAGTTTTGATTTAGCCCAAATTAATGATTTCATTTGTGTTGACAATGAGATTTAACCTCAGTCAGTAAATAAGCCATAAAGAATTGAATTCAGGAAAAAGTAGGAGCCATGGGGACAATCACACCAGAGAGAGATTGTATTTTTTTTGTTTGCTTTGTTTGTTTGTGGTAGAACACAGGTTGCCACTCAATTAATCAGTCAAAAATGAAAACTTGATTCATGAAAATCTTTTCAAGCAAACAGGATGTGACACAAAGTTCTTTACAGTCCTGTTACTGACTGGTGACTGAAGATTTATAGACAAAGCCACATCCCTCTTTACATAGCCATAGAGTAAATAAAGCTTATCCAGGCTTGAATACAGGCAATTCTTTTTTCTGTGCAGTGCACCTCAGCACAGAAGTGGCCCCTATAGTGTCATTTGTTTGCATTCGCACATGCACATCTGGGGTTGTAGGATCACACATATTATTTACAGCATTTTGATGTTAGTGGGTCTGGTATAGCCTGATTGCTTTTTTATATATATATATATATATATATATATATATATATATATATATATATATATATATATATATATATATATATATATACACACACACACACACACACACACACACACACACACATATATATATATATATATGTAATGGTTCAATTCTAGTTCAGACCAGTACAGACTGTGCACTGTGACCTTGGGCAAGACACTTTGCCCATTTATGTGTTAATGTGGTATGTGAGTGCATGAGTGAGTGAGTGAGTGAGAGTAATGACTAAAGAGGTCATAAGGAAAGATTTGCAGTCTCCTCCATGGCACATGTGGTGAGAAACTTTTGAGATTGTAAAGGAAGTTGTTGCTAATGTGTTAAAATCTTTCTGCATATCTATCATTTAAATAAAATATAAAAGACACTCAAATTAAAAAGTCATCTTAAGTGCTTTTCATTTATTCCCCAAGCTATTTTTAAGTGAGAGTGAAACAGAGGCAGGAAGCATCTGTAGCAGCCTCAGCACTCCAAATCCTGCTGCTCAGCTGGACATCTGTCTTATCACTGAAGATCATGTCACTGTTTGTTGAGTGGATTCACCTCAGCCCTGCTGTGCTCCCAGTGGTCTTGTTACTTTGGTTGGACTTTCTGGAGGAGCACAGGGAACTGGACCCCCCTCTATGGCTCTAACAGTCGGGGTTCTCAGTGTGTGGGCACAGTGCAAAGAACTCAAGTTAACAGCAGTTCCACAGTGCTGGTCAATGGCAAATTACTGTGTATTACTGTCAACACTGCTATTTGTATTTTGTCAGTCAGCTAAATCATTTTTTGTAACAACTGACTCTTAAAAATATAAAAAAATACAGGGGTCACACTACAAAGCATAACAGGGACAACTGAGATACTTGGTAGCTCAGCATTTGTTTTGTAATGCGTTGGATTTATATAGTGACTTTGAAGACACCCTTAGTGCTTTACAGTGCATTATTAATTTACTCCACACTTGGTGGTAAGCTACTATGGAAGCCACAGCAGCCATGGGGAATTATATTATTGAGTCTGCCAATCTGTGTCATTGGTCCCTTCGACCCCATTAACGCTCATGCACACACCACATTCATACCAAAGCACTAATGCAAATTCCATTTACATTGGACTGAGGTATCTTTTTGAAATTGGGGCTGGTAGCTTTACATGTACAATTGCTTATTTTTGAAAACAAGTGGTGCTGAAGAATACTTTTAAAATGAACTGAAAAGGAAAACAATTAAAACTGCAGGTAACAGGAACAGCACATCCCTAAGGCAACTCATTTAGATGTTGTTGTGTTGAAGCATTAAAATATACTATAGCTTACAGTCAGATAACTTATTTTGAAAAAAAAAAAAAAAAAAGTTTGGGAAAGAAGAGAAGAGAAAACATTTCTGGCTGTGAACAAAAGTTTTACATGACAGACAGCATCTCCCCAGTACACTACTAAAGTTTTTGCTCTTACTAGTATTTTTACAACTACGAAAATCATGCAAGTGTCAAAAAGCACAACACAGCCTCCATGGGGATTTTCATACCATTTTCACTACTGTATTTAAATAGGGCAAAGGTAGCTTTTTGGTTTGGTGTATACTGTGTGTATACCATGTAGCTATAGGCCATATATAAGAGAATTATGATCATTAGTGTTGGCAAAAGTAGTAGGAGTAGGGCATAAAAACTAATTTATTCTGATTGGGTGTCTGTATTGATTTGCCTTTTCTGTATGTAAACAGGGAGGAGGCCATGTTGTCCACTTACTTTGAGAGTGTGGATGACCTGCTGTCTTCATTTGGACCTGTGAGGGACTGCTCCAAAGATAATGGAGGCTGCAAGAAGAACTTCAAATGTGTGACTGACCGGCAGCTCGACTCCTCTGGGTGTATGGTAAGAGAAATATTTGGATGTCCTTAAAAATATTTTTTACAATTTAACCTATATGTGGGATCTGCATTCCAATAAACAATAGATAGTGTTTTCCAGTGATTTTGGTCAAAAATATTCTGCGGCCACCACACACCAAATTAGAAGATTTAGAAAAAAATGTGGTACGGATATTGCCCATTCTACTGTGTCTGGTTCTTTGCTCTATTTTCTTTTTTTTTGGAGTTTGCTCTTTTAATGGCAAATTATTCTTTTAAATTAAAGTTACACTGTGTAACTTTTTAGTTACTTGCTTGTTTTCATAAATGTGTCATTGCTCTGCCTGGAATCTTCCACAGTATGACATTAAACAGCTCTACCTTACATTTATTCAATTACATGTGGTTTTATAACTCAAAAAATGCCTGGAAAAACAGGCATCCTCACAATGAGTGAGATTGCTTCTCCACAGATCTCGCCTGTAGCTTGGTCTGGTTTGTCTCCATGAAGATAGAAAGGTTTAATACTATACATGCATACATGCATACATACATACATACGTACGTACGTACGTACGTACGTACGTACCAGGGAAAGTAATAACGTCTCCAAGCTTTTGACAGATTCTCCACCAGAAAAGTTACACAATGCACCTAATATTCAAAACTGTTCATTGAAATTACCTTCTTTTTTTTTTTTTCATTGCAAGTTTTTATGTATTTATTTATTTTATTATGAATACTTAGACCTATAGGGCAGAGGGTGTGAATAGAAGAACAGTTGTGTTGCCAACAGTTTGACAGCACTGGGCGGATCTGTGTTGTAAAGCTATTAAACTGATGAGGCGTCTCATTTGCTGAAGGTTGTTTTGGTGAGCTATTAAGAGCTGGGATGGGGTTATAATTCAGCTTACTTAGCATTTGATTATTGACACTTGTGCTAAGCTGTGTGTTTATCTGACATCTTTGTAGAATCAACAAAGCTCACGTTGTTTTCGAGGCACTGCTTTTTAGACCACTCAGTCACACAGACTCTGATTTACCTGATTCAGTCTGATTTAGTCAGCATTACCATAATGGCTCCTACACCTGATTTCATTCTCAAAACATTCCTTCTACCACAATGACAGCATGTGTCTCCTTTTTCCCCAAACCGAAAGACAAATTTAGACAAAATGTAACCCCATTACAAAGAAATTACTGCTGTCTACTTCAAAAGAAAAAACATTCTTAGACTTAGACTTAGACTTAGACAAAATGTATTGCTCCACAAGGAAAATTATTTGGACACAGTAGCTCACACATCACAAGATGTTATTATAGCAATGAGGAAAAATGTAAATGGTAATAATACATTCAAAATAAGTAGCAAAAATAACAAGAGGCTTGTGTCAAATAAGGCATTTATATAAGAAGGCAATTATATAAATATATATGTATATATGTACAAGTAAAAAAAAAAGTAAAAAAAGTATATATATATATATATATATATATATATATATATATATATATATATATATATATATATATATAAAGGAATATCGAATTACAAATATATATGCTATATACAAGAGTTCTCTGTGTACTGCTACAATTATCATTACTAGTATTGTTATTTAAAATCAATATCACAACAACAGCTCTCTTTTCAAACTCTTGCCAGTATTAATAACATAACAATATCAAATATTGGATGAGAGTATTTCTGTGTAAATCTTATTATAAACAAAAGAAAATATTACTCTATTCTGCTTCTCCTTGCTCTAAACTCTCACTATTCACTGGTATGTTTGGTCTCCTCTAAATGTTTCCCATAGTAATACAGGCATACTTTGTCAATACTTTGTCATTATTAACATGCCTTTAGGACACAATAAATGCTTTTTTTTTCATCTGGCTCCCAAACAAGTGCTCTTCTTTATTCAATCTGTATAATTTATGACAAACCAACCTGGAGATTGGAGGTGCAGCAGGTCACCATCTCAGAGGTGTAATACTGCCGTCAGAGAGCAAGACCGAGGAGACATTTACACATCTCCGAGCGGAATACTTATGAGTTCTAGAGGTGAATGTAAAACGGTTTCAAATATGAATGAGACTGGGCGCTAATAACCCTTTGGATTGTTTGTCCAGCCTGCACAGCACACAGCCCCGGGATATGTTTTTATTAACATTTACACACAGCCAGAATACAGACAGTCTGTATTATCCCTGCCAACATGGGCTGAAATTAAAAGTGGTTCCTCTAAGGAGAAGGAAAAGCTCTGAATATGTATAGTCTTCAAGGTTCTTCTCAAGATTGTAATTAAAGTTCTGAAGAAAGAAGTGTGTTAATTCAAGTGTATACAAAATTATAAACATTAGATGTACTCTTACAAACAAAATGGATTATGTGTCTTGCTCAGGGACATGACAACAGTGTGGACATAGTTAAATGCTCATTCAGGAGTTCAGCTCATTCAACAAAGGAGATGCACTGAGGCAGATTTGTCAGTGCAAAATATCTGCCATTACCCCATATACGGTTATAGATCTAAAGATAAGTAAAAGTAACATGATTTATAAACACTCCAAACACTTCAGAATGTCAGTAGATTGAAGCAACATGTCTGAAATCTGAAGTAATTCTTTTGAGGAGACCAACATGTGCTTCTCAAGGTTGTTTGGTTTCCTTCAGAGCAATTAAGCTACAGTAGACCATGAATTGTGCTCTTTAACGGAATAATACTGTTTTTATTCTGGAATTGTTTCAAATGGCATGTCTCAGTGTGGGGCTGATTAATACAAAGGAGTGGAGAGGCCATCTGGTTGTTCAGTGATCGCAGTTCTGTACAGTTTTTTCACTGTGAGTTTGTGTAATTGTATCAGTCTATGGCACAGAGAGGAAGATGTTTCAAGCCCATTGTCATTGCTTCACTGTCTACTGCTTTTAAGATGACTGACATGAATTTCTAATATACTCAATTAGACTCTGGGGAAATGGCTTTTTACAGTGATGAGGATGGTGTTTTGAATGAAGAGGGCGGAGTTAGAAGTAGGCATGCTTTTTTGGTAAATGGTAAAACGGTACATTTTTATAGAGTGCTTTTTTTCAACTTTAAAGCACTTAAAGTGCTTTACAGGTAGGATTCAGTTTTAAAAGACAGTTTTAGAGATTTACAATTTAGGGTTTTTGTATGAATTCTTCATAGCAGCAACTTCACAGCAACAGTTTTCTTCTGATGGTTCTACACAAATGCACTTCACCAAACAGTAATTGATCATTGTAGAATGTGCAGACTTTCTGGTGTGCTTTATGGTGCGCTTTATCCACACTGCATTTAGGTATGATTGAATACTGATTTAGGCACAATTTAGCCCTGAATTATGACCATACCAACTTTAGATTACCCGAGCTTGTCTGATCTCAGAAGCTAAGTGCAGTGAAGCCTGGTTAGTACTAGGATGGAAGATTGTGGGGAAAACCTGGTGCCATAGTTGAGTGGTAGTGACACTGGTTAGAATCCTGCTCCACCAACTCCAAAGTTCTTGATTCAAAACTCAACTGAACAAGTCTTTGAGCCCCTGGGCAAGACACCTTCATCCACCTTGCCTCTAATCTCCTATGGCAGTGTGTGAGTGTGAGTAAGTTTGTGAGAGCAAATGCAGAGCGACAGATGGTAACTAGCCTGTGACTACAATCCGGTGTGTTTACAGCATGTATCTCATGTATGTTCATTAACCATCTTGTCTTGTCCTTTTAGTTTAAGTTTTAATACATTATTTCTATTATTATAGACTGATTTAAATTGAATTGAATTTGAATGAATTTGACATTAGTACTTATTAGTTATATGTAGTTATGTCTATGTAGTATAGTTATATGTATCTGGACAAATTGTATTTATATCAGTGCCACCTAAAATTGCCATGTATTTTTATTGTTTATGGATTTTCAAATCTAGAAATAGAACCGACCAAAACTGTAGAGAGCAGTTTTACTATATATAAAGTGTACAGTAGCTGAGTTAGAACAGAACATATTTTCTTCATTTAGAATATTGTGTTCCCAGAGGGAGCATCCACATTGACCTACTGGGGTATATGTAATGTCCAAAGTCCTGCTGAACCCATGGTCAATGTACCATGTCATGCACAGTGTGTGAGAGAAGATGGGAGCTCTCTTGAGGCTGTTTGCACAAATTCAGTATTCAATGAATGTAGCTTTTCCTTCTCTTCTTCTTTTTTTGAAGTTTGAAGGAAAGTGTTGTATATAATTTTCTTATGGCTCATTGTTGTACCCAACATCAGGATTTGTCTCTCTAATGAAAGTTTGGGGAAGAGCAGCAGATGGCAGAATATTACCGGCGTATCTTTCATCAGTTGTGTCCCTGTTGGGATGTTGCAAGTAAAGTTGTTTGGATACATTCTTGGCAACACACTATTTTGACTTCATCATTTAAATGTTGTACTTCAAGACGAAGAAAGATGTGTTTACTTGTGCAAAATACTGCATGTCAAGGGCTATCAGTATCCTAAAAGTGAGCATATGCTGATACATAAATATATATCATGATTCAGGTGCCACTATAACCTAATAGTATTGCAATAGAATCTGAATAATTAAGCCATTTATAGCAGCCAAAAGCCATTAGAGAGTAAAGAGTAAAGGTAAAAATCACTACAATACATATTTATTGTAACAAGTAATAGTGTGTATAATTTATCTAGAATTGTGTAGCCTTTGCCTTATAGTTGATTAAAATATTTGACACTCTCCAAAAGCCAAGTTTAAAAGATGAGCTGTCAGCATGCAGTCAGCTTTCTGCTTGGCTGACTTTAGTTTGAATAAAGACTCAACAGGGATGCACAGAATAACAAACAAAGGTTTTCACTTCATCTTCACCTCCTCCAGCTCAGTCTCCTCTCAGTCCCCACAGCTCTGCACTCCTAAACTCTCTTAGCTCATTACCAGTGAAGCTCTGCTGCAAATGCATTCTAATAACCCCCTCATCTATTTATTTTGACATCATTGCTTAAACA